TATCAGTTGGATACCATATGGATACTGGAGTCAAGTAAGTCTCGATAATTTCTAATTTACAATTCTTGCTTTAGTTTACGTTATTTTTATTTTGTATTTTATTTATTTGATTAAATTCAATAAAAATTTTGACAAACAAATCTGTTTTATTCTGTTTATTTTATGCTCAATAATTAAATCAATAAATAGTGTTTTTAATCTATTTTTGTTGTATATAAGCCGATAATGTTTCAAATTAATAATCATTATTATTTGCAAATCCAATGGTCTATAAAGTTTTGCAATTCAGTGAATGACTTAATATTTTGTTAACTATTCTATAATTAGATTTGGGTTTTGCTTCAAAATAGTATTCAAGTTCTTACAGTTTGTGTGTTTCATATTTTATTTGAAACCTTAATAGGTTATAAATATGAATGGTAATTCTATTATTTTTAAAGCAAACTATTCTAGACTAGATGCTCTAGATTCTAGAGCATTAACATAAGATTTTTAAAATCACATTATTTTTAAGCAATTGAAGTCAGATTTCTACTGCACTGCGATTATAATTTTTATAATACAGTATAATTGCATTTATATTACCGTGCATAGAATTATTTATATAGAAGTTGACTACTAAAATGAACCAGTTATAATTAAATACAGTAGCTGATGCCATATTTGATTCGACATTATAAATGCCATAATATAAGTAAAATTGAACGAATACAAGAATTGATCACAATTTTAAAATTTAGACTTTTATTGTGTTTTAAATGAATAGAACATAGAGTTTGTTAAACAAGAATGGCTTTTGATTGTAACAAAGATCAGGTAATTGTTGACAAATGACTTAAAATAATACTGACTAGAAATGAATTGCAATTAAATTAAATTTAAACTATTTTGAAGCAAACGATGGCACGAATGGAATGTTGAGACATATAATCACTAAAAGACAATGTTTTTGCGATTTTGTGTAAAAATAGTAATCAATAAATCCAAAAGTTATCACAAGTTGTAGGTTCTAATGAATGACATAATGTTTGGTAGACATCCGATGGAGAGTCCAGTTGTTTGGGACATATCACTGGAATAAGTGGTCGGGAATAATACTGTCTTTGAAGTGATAGGTGTGTCCCAGACTTGTCGCCCAACGCTTCCGTCGTGTGATGGGAGCAGTCATGTGCTGGTCATCGACGGCCCCGTTTTGAGCGCTCGACTCGACTGTAATTTGAGTGTTTATGCCGTACGGACGCAAGTGGTATAACAAGTACTCCAAGACATACATCATATTAGGGTTGACGTAATGGAAAGATATGGCGGTATCACTACAACAGCCCATTCCCTGCAATAGTGATCACAATGAACTATTTATTCAAATCACTTGATGGCAAAAACATACTTCTTGTGAGGGATAGTATATGTACTGCCAGTACCAGAACGACTTGTCCACGTGTCCGGGAATGACATGATGTTCGGGAACAAACGGGAAGAACCGACCCCTCCCTAAGCTATCTCTGGAATCGCCGGCCTTAACGCCCAACTCCTCCAAACACTGACCCATATCTACATCTTCAGCGCCGCCCTCTTCACTCTCTTTGCAACGTTTCGGGTGTCCATCGCTCAGACCTTTCTCAGCGAACAGTTTGAGCGCCTGTCGGCTTAACACATATCCCGCTCCACCGGACATATACCCTGTTAAGATAGGTGTTATAACTGGTGTCTGTATGTCTGTCTGTCTGTCTGTATGTATGTATGTATGTATGTATGTATGTCTGTACAGTTGCTCATTGAATGCATACCCTGTTTGACGTATGGTTTGAATTTACATCCGAAGTAAATGGGTTCGGATGCGTTTTGTGACGATAGAAAGTACCGCAGATTCTCGACCACAATATATGTGTCGTCATCTGCTTTGAGGAACCAATCATTGTCTTGAAGGTAGTGATGGTATGAGTAGTTGAAAGCACCTCTGGTTTNATTTACAATTCTTGCTTTAGTTTACGTTATTTTTATTTTGTATTTTATTTATTTGATTAAATTCAATAAAAATATTGACTAACAAATCTGTTTTATTCTGTTTATTTTATGCTCATAATTAAATCAATAAATAGTGTTATTAATCTATTTTTGTTGTATATAAGCCGATAATGTTTCAAATTAATAATCATTATTATTTGCAAATCAAATGTTGGTCTATAAAGTTTTGCAATTCAGTGAATGACTTAATATTTTGTTAACTATTCTATAATTAGATTTGGGTTTTGCTTCAAAATAGTATTCAAGTTCTTACAGTTTGTGTGTTTCATATTTTATTTGAAACCTTAATAGGTTATAAATATGAATGGTAATTCTATTATTTTTAAAGCAAACTATTCTAGACTAGATGCTCTAGATTCTAGAACATTAACATTAGATTTTTCAAATCACATTATTTTTAAGCAATTGAAGTCAGATTTCTACTGCACTGCGATTATAATTTTTATAATACAGTATTTACAGTATAAGTACCAAGAACTTATTTACAATACTTTGCATTTATATTACCGTACATAGAATTATTTATATAGAAGTTGACTACTAAAATGAACCAACTGAAATATAATTAAATCCAGTAGTTGATGCCATATTTTATTCGACATTATAAATGCCATAATATAAGTAAAATTTAATGAATACAGGAATTGATCACAATTTTAAAATTTAGACTTTTATTGTGTTTTCAAATGAATAGAACATAGAGTTTGTTAAACAAGAATGGCTTTTGATTGTAACAAAGATCAGGTAATTGTTGACAAATGACTTAAAATAATACTGACTAGAAATGAATTGCAATTAAATTAAATTTAAACTATTTTGAAGCAAACGATGGCACGAATGGAATGTTGAGACATATTATCACTAAAAGACAATGTTTTTGCGATTTTGTGTAAAAATAGTTATCAATAAATCGAAAAGTTATCACAAGTTGTAGGTTCTAATGAATGACCAAATGTTTGGTAGACATCCGATGGAGAGTCCAGTTGTTTGGGACATATCACTGGAATAAGTGGTCCGGAATAATACTGTCTTTGAAGTCATAGGTGTGTCCCACACTTGTGGCCCAACGTTTCCGTCGACGTGTGATGGGAGCAGTCATGTGCTGGTCATCGACGGCACCGTTTTGAGCGCTCGACTCGACTGTAATTTGAGTGTTTATGCCGTACGGACGCAAGTGGTATAACAAGTACTCCAAGACATACATCATATTAGGGTTGACGTAATGGAAAGATATGGCGGTATCACTACAACAGCCCATTCCCTGCAATAGTGATCACAATGAACTATTTATTCAAATCACTTGATGGCAAAAACATACTTCTTGTGAGGGATAGTATATGTACTGCCAGTACCAGAACGACTTGTCCACGTGTCCGGGAATGACATGATGTTCGGGAACAAACGGGAAGAACCGACCCCTCCCTAAGCTATCTCTGGAATCGCCGGCCTTAACGCCCAACTCCTCCAAACACTGACCCATATCTACATCTTCAGCGCCGCCCTCTTCAC